GAGCAATTCTGGGCGAAACTTCAGGATATGTTTGTTTGCAATTCCTTCCTTTGAATAATGTCACTTAAAAAAAATCAACCCCAGACAAAAAACCTGAAAACAAATAAATTACATTTTGATGATGTGTAACTTATTCTCTATTAATAAATCTTCTATCATAATTTCTATTCAAAACAACTATGCAAAACACAAGCATATATTCCAAGTAATGTCAAACCATAAAAGTGCATCATAAGAGAAATGTCTGATTTACTCATACAGCATTTTCCTCACCAGGAGACCAGGAAGAAAAAAAGTTTGTTGGAATTCTTTGTAATAAAATCGCGTGATTTTCAAAATCCAAAGACCAGAAGTGACAGCCATGGCTCTGGTACTTGCCAACTCATCAACTCGCAGTGCTTTCCTGTGCTGAAGTTGTACAGCGTGGAAGGTCAAGAGATGGGAGAGGACGGTGTATCAACCTGTTGTAAAAATTCAGTGTAGAAATTGAGAGATAATCACAAGGGGCAGGAGAACTCAGCTGCAAGATATGTGTACCAAGATAACTGTACTTTATAAGCATGCTTTTTGCATTTTTATGAGATTCTAGATCATTTTAAAATATTATCCCAAGCCAGGACATTATTACACAGAACGGTGTAGTTACCTTGGTGTACCTAGTGTAGCCAGAAGGAAATCACAGTGAGCACCGGGAAAAAGCAAAGGAACTCGAGGGATTGAATGTGAGTAGTGGTATGCACAGGAATCTCTTCTGTCCCTGATATTTGCTATGTATCCACTGGCTAGTTTCTGCCAGCTGCTCTTTTTCATCCCTTAAGCACAGATCACATAGTTGCTTTTATTTCCTTTGTATATTGGAAGTAGAAGCATAGAATATGCTTGACTGGGTAATACAGACAATAGTGCTTCAAGGAAACTAACTTACTATTACCAGGCATCTGTGCTGTTAGGAAACTGAGTGGTGACCGCTTTGTACTTATGCAACCTTTACAGCATATTAACATTTTGTTTGGGTGCTGTATCTGGAATTGTGATTTGCTACTCTATTTTTAGCACAGCTCTTCAAAGGAGAAACTTCCCTTATGGTCTGTGCCAGGCATTTGTTTAACTCTGCCATGTCTTCAAACCTGATCATTGCTTTGACACACTCATAAATATTGGGCTTCTGTAGGCAGCTGTGTGATTTGTTTGCTCTGTGTGTGCATGAGGACACTTACCTAGGGCAGATGTTTCCAGGAGCATGCACAGTATCAGGCAAAATGAGAACATGCCTTGTGGTAACTGATTCACCTGCTCTGGCTGGTGCTGGTTCAGGTAAACTGTTTTCTAATAGTTTTAAACTGCAGTTCAGACTGTCTGATGTGTTGAGGTGCAGTTTCACTCTTCCTGGAAGAAGTGCACTTTGTGTTCTTTTTATCTGGGCATGGTGGGATTTTTCCTGGAAATGGAATCATTACAAGCAGTTGTGATCATGCAAGATTACACCGTGCCTCAAATTTCCTTATAGATTTGAAATCTGTTAGCTTCAGAGTGCGTGAACTCATCAAAATAGTTCATATCAGAGGGTCTGCCTTGAAGTCTACTTCTGCAGCAGCACTTCATGAAATCTGAGTATCTTAAATATGCACACAGTCCTCCTACACACACAGAGCTTTCAGCTTTTGACTTGAAGACTGCTACAGCAGAAGTATCACTAAGATAGAAACAGAACACTGCTTGACTATGCTCTTCATTGGAAAAGTTAAGGAGGCACATATAGATCATAACATCCCAAATGGCAAATAGTCTATATATAATGTAACTTTAAATTTTCCAGAAAATGTCTTTGTTTGCATTGAATGAAACTTAACATTTATTTTACTGGGAAGAGTTCAACATGAACAATCTCAGCTGTATCTTTGGTACTCTGACCAAAAGAGTAGGGGAAGCGTGATGATAAAGCTTGAAAAATGCTCTGCATCCCTTGTTTGAAGAAATGGCAAGGTCGGAGACAACCTAATTTGTGTTAAATCAAATTTTGCTAAGGCAAGAGGTTGCACATTTCAGATTTTACTGTAATATAATTTAAAAAATTCATTTCCCCAACAAGTCAGCATTGATGCATTGTGGCAAGAAACTGCCTTCTACCCCCCACCAATGTATCTGGACCACTTCAAATTGGCTTGATATGAAATTGCTTTAAAATAAATGCTGCCTTCTCATGCTTTCAAAACAATGAGTTCACTATACCTCTGAAAAATCAGGCTGCTTATGTAAGTACCTAAATAAGGCTGTATCATGCCAGTTTGAAAATAATTTTATAACTTTTGCATGCCTCCTCTCCCTATGAAGCATGTAAGATGGCAGGGCACTGTGCTTTAAGGCTTTTAAAATTTGAAATATCTAAGTCTTGGAGAAGGCAATTTGATCTGCTAAGACAGACCTGATATTCCTGAATCTGGGGTTTGTTCTTGGCTGGGTGGTCGTAGTCACGGCCAAGGTGTGTTGCGATAGCCTTCCAGGTAGGAGGGAAGCTGGACCTGATTAACTTCCTGGGGTCCTTTGCAGCCAATAGGCCTGTGATTCTGTTGTCAGCCTACTATACAGCACAGAAAATGCATGCAACTTGCCAGAACTTCACCTTTTATTGAGATCAAAAAAAGGGATTCTCTGTGTACACTCGCACTGTCTGCTGTATTGAGCCCTGATTGTGGTGGGAGGCTGCAGGTGTCTCCAGGGCAAAGAGTACCAGAGTAGAATTGAACTGGGGGTCAGGGTGGTCTAGTAGCTATTAGCAGCATAATGTATATATATGTGGTGGTGCTTCAACAGCAGGATGAGAGGCTTAATGTCCCAGGAAATATGGAGAAATGCATGGGGAGGAAAGGTGTCATATATGATGTTCATAATCCATTTAGAAATGAGGAAGATATGAAATGTGTACAGGAAAAGCTGTTCTTTGTTTGTTAAATCTACACAATCAAGCATTCCAAAGTCAGAAAACTACACAGGAAGGTAAAAGCCAATTCCTAAACTATGCTAGTGTACTCTGAGTCACATAACAGCAACAATTTTATCCTCCAAGTCTGATTTAATCCTTAACGCACTTCCCATTGTTGAAGTTTGAGATACTTTGGGACACTGTTACCTCACATTTTTGCTTTGGCTCTTACTCTAGGGTTTCTTGCAGGGAAAACTGACTGATGTTTTATTTACATTGCTTAATATACTGTGTTATGAAAAGCAGATTTCTCTGTAGGAACACTGGTCACACTTTGCTTTTGTTTAAAGAATCACTTGTGTCTCTCAGACTTTTGGAAATGAACAGGGGCAGTGCCCAGGAATCTTGAATTGGAGTTGTTTTGGTATTTTTCTGGAATTTTGCTCAGCTCTGAAACTTTTCCCTCTTCTTCTTTATATTGACCACAAAATCTGTGATCATATAACAACTCCTAGTGGTAACTGTACTACTAGAGTTACCCTACAGCTTCTCATGCTGGGAAATCAGTCATTGTAAAACTGGTCACAGGTAGGTCAGGAGTAACTCACTCCTGAGCTTGTCTAATTCAGCTCCTTTACTAGTATGGACTGTGCTGCAATTTTTGCCTCACTTTCTCTTTTGCTTTCTTTTAAAAGATGAAGTTTACAATCTAAATAATGTTCTTCTAACAAAGCTTTTATGCACACCCCACGTGATCAGGCAGAAATACAGAAATGTAAAACAGGCTCCTGGCTGTTCCCATTTGCTGCTTCTGCTGTTGGAGAGGGGCTGAAGCCCAGGGCATGAGCTTTTCATACACCGGGCTGAAGGCCTTATCTCTCATCTCTGTAATGACCTCATCTTGAGAAGTTCTGGGACTGAGCTGTTCCCTTTCGATTGGCTGTGTGCTACCTGGCCATCTCTTTCTTCCTTTCAGTGGCTGTTTGCAGAGCCTGGGACTTTGCACCTAGTGTAACTGATCTTACTTTTTCACAAAATAGTTTCTGTTAATGCCATTCCCCTGACTCCAACTTCATGTGGAATTTAAAATCAGGCTTTGTTCTGTGTTACAAGCTGAATGCGCATAAGTATTTCTGGTGCAGTTTGGGACTCTTGTTTTGGAAGTGACTCTACCCTGAAAGTGCTTTGGCAGTGGGGCAGCTATCGCAGGGCAAGCTCCGGCTGTCAGCCTGGCTCTGTAGAAAGGTGACACTACGCTGGGTTGTGGAAAAAGGATCTTGCAGCGGAGCACGTAGCAAGAGATGGGGAAACTTTTTAAAAGGGACATCAGCTCTGATTTTATATGCAACCTACTAGGAACTTCAGCAGAGAGAAAGCAGAGAGCAGTGGGAGGAGATGCTCTTCAGGTTTGCAGGAGATTATACCCTCTTCAGAGAGGAGGGTTACTGCTCCCGTGAAGCTCTCTGTTAGTTGTTTATGAAGGTGACGTGCATGGTTAGAGAATGTAACGTGTCTTGCTACATTGAACTTGAAAGGATCAAAGGACCAGGATGGTCATAACTAGGTGCAGCTCTGAGGGAGAAGCTACAAACCATCCCTGGGTGTATTCAGGCCACCTGTATCGCTGTGCATTGTTTCTCCAATGCCTTGTTTCAAGGATTATGCAGAGGTACTCTGAGCTTGTGGGCTGTGCCAGACCCAGAAACAGTGACTGGGCTCAAACCATACCTGAGCTGGGAAACACCTGGGGGTCAGTTTCAATCTGATAAATGCTATAGTAACCATGAAGAAACATCTCTTTGCTGCAAAGAGTCTTTCATGGTTTTGACCTTTAGGCTTTTGTCTAAAACTTGTGGTGTTTGTTTACCAGGCAATTTCTGCAGTAGGTTACTGAGAGTACTGTGTGAGTGGAGTTTCTGTTGGAATAATTTATTTGCTGCTCTTAGGGCAGTAATTATTTACTAAGTATCAGTGGTTGTCTGGAATGTCTAGTTAATTATCAGCTTGCCTCTGTGAAAGTGCACATAGTGAAAATACATAAATAAAAAATTAAAAGTTGTTCTTTTTCCTCTCATTTCAGGTACTGGGTCCATGTGTCACATCTGAATTGTGTTGTACTAATCCTCTAAGTACCAACTCGGACCATCTCCTTGATGCACACTCACAGCATCATGGCCAGTACTCAGGAGCGCCTGAGCTTGTCTTCCTCTCCAAACTCAATTGGCAAAGCTTTCTGTGAAGATAAAGACTTTAGTAGGTTACATGATGAACATGTACCTACTGGAAACCACCCGTCCCCCGAACTCGTAGAAGATGTGCGTGAGAAGGGCTTTCTGCAAGCAGACCTCGTTGAAAACATGAGCAGCCCGGTCACTGCAGCAGTGCTGACCAGCATCAGTGAGGACTCTAGGGACCAATTTGAGAACAGCGTGCTGCAGCTGCGAGAGCAGGATGAATCTGAAACAGCCATTCCTCAGGGCAACAGGAACACTATGGATGGAGAGGGCAACAGTGGAGCGGATGATGTTAAAGTCCAGTTCAACAGATCAGGCAGTGGGAGTGGAGGGTTTCTTGAGGGACTTTTTGGTTGTCTGAGGCCCGTGTGGAACATCATAGGCAAGGCATACTCCACAGACTACAAACTGCAACAGCAAGGTAAGCAGGGAAACAAACCTTTATTGCTTCTGGGGGAATGTGTGAAGGTGAGGAAAGCAGCCCAGGGCTTTTTCCCAGCTTTCCATGTGACCATTTTTGTCTTGTGCAGCCCTATTATGGGTTTGCAAGGAGAAATCCTGCACTGTACAGGCAACAGCTGTCATTTGTAGCAAAGGCAGCTCATGATGAAGTCAAAACCAATTTGCCTGTTCTGACCCATGCCTTAGGCTGCTGTGACAGCATTTGAATCTGAACCGAGTATTTGTGTTGAGCACAGGGGTTGTACCAACTGCTTAATTTCTGCAGTTTTTTCATGCCAGATGAAAAACATATGCATAGGTATTTTAATTATGCCAGGTGAAAGACACTGACAGAGGCGTTTTTACTCCTGTGTTTGTGAAGGCTGTCTTTGGTTCACCACCAAATAGCAGAGGGATTGCTTTTCTGTGCGTGTATTACTTGAACTTTTATGTCTTTTTATTCAGGAGTAATTTTACTTTTTAAAATACCATTTGGTACTTATCTTTCCAGACATATGTTCTTTAATGTTTATACTTTTCATTTAGATGTAAAAATTTAGAAGAGTGTGTGTGAGTATAAATACATATATGTATATATATATATATATATAAAAAAATATATGTAGTTTGGAAATAAGTAATGTCCCAGTCAGTTGTGTACATCAATCTTTAGGGGTTCCTGAAAGCTGGAGAGCAGAGTATGCTCTGCCTTTGATATCTTAATTTCTCCCTTAGCACAGGGGGAGGGAAGTGGCAGATGGGAAAAGAACAATCTGTCATTAGAATTAAGGAGCTGAAATGGTTGAGGCTTATCGAAAATGGGAACAGCCTGGCCACTGTACTGTACCGTGGGGTAGAAGTCTCCTGTATTGCTTGATCATGACTCAGTATTAATCAAATGGTTTTCTGGCATAGACAAATTATAAGATATGTGGTCAGAAAACCCATCTGAGTGGTTCATGTCTAAACCCCAGAGCTGAGTTGGGGAACGGTTCCTAATATGAGGGAACAGAGCTGCTAAATAACATGTTGGATGAATCTGCCCTGAAATAAACTTACTCATCCTTCCTAGAGTCAGTCTTTTCCAGTTCACAACTCTGAATGGGGAAACCCACCACTGCATTGTGGAATGGCAGGTGCCACCCAAGCAGCAGCCTCTTGTCTGTCAGACCTGTGTGCTCAGCAAGAGTTTGCTTGGTTTGAAAATCCTTTGGCAAAGTTGGCTCTAAGTTTTGTCTGCATGGCGTAAACTCGGTGTGTCACACGTGGTTGGGTCTGTAAATAAAACAGGTGACTGGAAGTTCCTTGGGGAATTAACGCTATCGGGTGATTGCACAATATGTGGAGTTAGATGTGGTGATTTTTGGAAGAGACTTTCTAAGGAAAGGACACAGATGCAGAGTTACATCGTCTGCTTCCAGCAATTGTATCCCATACGAGCGCTGCCTCACCAGATCAGACTTCTCTCATCACCGGGAGCTGCTGAGCTGTCTGGTGCTCGCCTGTGCCTGTAAGCTCAGATGGGTGGCGTCCGGAGAGCTACCTGCGAGGTGAAGGGATTGTATTTCACCTATAATTGAGGCAGCAGATGTGTTGGAGACCACAGTTTAATATGTGCTTTAATGGCCCACTGGGGACACTTTCTTTTGTATGAAAGTCACTAATAAAAAAGATTGAAGTGCTAACTAATGAAAATGAGCAGCTGAGAGTGTTGTTGTGTTTGGGGGGGGTGCATGTAGAGCTCCTCTTTGTACGCACAGAATTTATCTTGCTGTTCTCAGTGTCATCAGCATGTTTGGAGCCATAGATTCATGGATGTTTTGCAGTTTGCTGTTGGCATTAGGCCCTTCCTAAAAGGGCACTTTTGCAATGGCTACAGATGTGGTATGGCTGAGTATTAATTGCTGTGTGCTATATGTGGCCTGTGTGGTTTAGCTGCATCTTCAACGTCTTCACTGTCATTAATGGGAGTGAAAAGATTATTTTTTTTTTTTTTTCCCTCTGAAGCTGATCAGTTGGACAGATCTCTGATGGTAATAGTACGCTTCTGTTACCTGAGGATAAACCTTTTTAAACTGCTTCTGTGCTAAAACTCGAGTATTTTGTCAGAATATTCATGTTCTGTTTTCTAGATGATCTCATTCTTGCTTCTTGCCACCAGAAAATCTGCTTTGTGTGTGTTTCATCAGCTACATACAAGCCAGCAGTTTAGTAACTGATGTATGCAATTGCTTTTATTTTTGCTGTCTTTTAGCAAGAGCACAGAGGATGCAAGGTTTGTGTTTGTGCAAGTGTGTTTGGAGAAGACAGGCCGAGGAAATGTCTCTGGCTTTTTAAGCACTGGAGGGAGGCTTGTGGTGGCCTTTTGTTCCCCTGGAAGCTTATTTACAGCTTTGGTCTGGTGCCACAGATCTATGCAGATGATTTTTTTTTTTTTCCCCCATCTTCATGAAACAACTATTTTAAGCCTTATCCAGGAGCAATCCTTTGTGTTGGGCTGCAGCAACAACTGGGGTAGGAGTCCAGTTTGGACCTGCAGCCATGGGGGACTTGATATTACCTGCAGATGCTTCCTGGTACTTTTTGCAGCTCACCAGTGTCCCTGCTTGCCTGGCTTGGATCTCCTGCAGGCCCAGACTCTAGAACATGGTGGTAGTGTTGTGGTTACAAGCAGTAAAATATAAATAGGTTTCATGCCCTTTGCAAATATATGATACTTGAGTACGTATTGTCTGTAAAGGCTTGGCTCATCAGTTGGTGAATGGGGGAAAAGATAAGAACAACTTTTACATGATTCCACATTGTCTTGTTATTGGAATTACTCCTTGAGTTTCCTTCTCAATGTCTGAGATGGTCATCAAGAGGAGTGTTGTTCTGTGCTTCCCTTGAGGACCCATGCTGGGCAAGCTTTGGTCAGCTGGAAGTTGCTGCAGGTTGGTCTGCTGGTTGACTAAGCAATGCCAATTGCTGCAATTAAATGCTCTACCTGCTTGGTGAATTCCTGCAGGGAGACATTGCTGATGTGTTGCTCAGGGGCTGCCAGTTGATTATCTGAGGTTTAAGTATACTTAGTTCTTTAATTTGTGTCTACCAGTTATTTAATTTGGATTTGTTGGGACTTTAGCACTTTATATTAAGACCTGTGTTTTCTACAGATTCAGTGGAGTTCTGAGCCATTTCCTTTGGATTAAGAACCTGTCTTCAGGAGTTGCTTTCCCCTTCCTTCTCACAAGTTACACGTTTACTGTCATTGTGTGCATTTTTGTGTAAACCTGGAGAGCAAGGTGCTTTATGAAGCGTGCTTGTGTTCGTGGTTTTTTTTTGTAAACCAGAGATGCTTCTTGTCATAATGCCAATGCTGGCGAGCAGCCAGCGCTGGTGAACGGCAAAATTTTGCTTCAAATAGATTGACTCAATGGCTCAGGCTGCTCCTTCATTTCTTCCCCATGGGAAACAGATTCCCATCATTCTGCTCAAATGGTTCTTAATCACCTTAGAAACACAAGCTCTTGTGTAATTCTTGCTGCTATTACACTTTAATTTATTTAGGGGAAGGATCCCACAGGTTTCTTTAGGCCCAGAAGAGTCTGGAATAAAAACTGCTCCATCCTGGTACTAGATATCCTTGTCTCTCTTCTGCTGGAGGAGGGGGTAGTGCTAGGAGAGTGGTAGCAAGCCCTGAAGTCTGAGCAATGTCAAAGCATGTTTAGCTAAGCAATGTTAATGGACTTTTTGAAGAAGGCTGGCAGTACAGTTGAGTCTTGCTTAGCATGTCCAAATGTGTTTCCTGTCCACCCTGCTGATCATCTGAGCTGTTTCTCTTCTGGAGAGGCACTTTGGCTTAACTGTGGTTGTCACACACCCAAGTTCTTGCAGCTGGTTTATGCAAGTCCTTTTCTGATTCAAGCAGTTGATTGAGATGACAGAGGTCTCTGCATCACCTCTTGCATGCTGTGTTTCTCATCGTACCTGTTGTGTAGATGTGCCGTAGCTGGAACAGCCGTAATTCAGGGTTTTGTGGGGTGTTCAGGATGGATCTACACAGGCAGTGGGGAGAGCTTTATAACCTGCTGTTTAGGTGATGTGCAGGTTCCCAACTTTCAGCTGTATTCAGCTGGCAGTGCGTTGAGTCCTCTCTCTCCCCGCCTTGCCCATTGCCCCTCTGCAGAACTGAGAAGGTTGACTTTGTAATACTGCCCCTTGTTGGCCTCTTGTCCTTGAGGGTGGTCCCAGGGAGTGGCCGGGAGCACATACACAGGGTAATTTAGATGTATTTTTTAATCGGTAGATTTGGGTTGTGGTAGAAATTACGGGTTTGCACCGCTAATGCTAACAAATCCTGGCTTTCAATTGAACATAGTCCAGTGCTTTTCTCCACCAGCATCACTTCCTTTGCAAAGAATTTCAGTGCTTGATGTGTTATGGAAGCCAAACGAATTGCTGATGCTGGCTGTCTTGAAATGTAATAACATGCTTCTCTATACTGAAAGGTGTTTGTTTTTATTTTTGTTTTATTGTTGCATTAAATGTTGCATAAGGTTTGGCTCTTTGTTCTTGAAATTCCCAGAGATGTAGGATGTTTCACTGATTATGGCTACACTGAAACCTCTTCCCTGACTCATGCCCTTGATGGTCAGGGTGCAAGTGGGATATAGGAAAGCATATGTCTCCCCAAATAAAAATGAGATGATTTTGCAGGAGGAAGCGCATGAACTTTTGCTTACTTTGCTTACAATCTCTCTCTGCCTTTGCCACTGTGAAGGTTAATAGGTAATATTAAGAGCAAATTAGTGCTCCTAGGTGATGGCAGTATAGTTACCCATTACTGCTTACAAACTTCAGGTGCTTTAGGTAAATAAATGACAGTGTTGCATGCCTTGTACAGGAAAGACAGTCTTCTCACATGTAAAGAAGCATCTATTTCAGTACAACAGAATAGTTTGTTGGCCATGTAAAACTACTGTTTGTCAACAAACAAAAATCAACTGTATTTGCCACCTTCTTTCAGAAGCAATGCATATGTGAATTCAATAGAAATAGATGTTCTCAATTTATTTATGAATTTCCTTATTTTCTTTTATTTTCATTATTTAAAGAACTGTCTTTTAATGTCCAAATGTCTAAAGAATTAAATACCAGTTAAAGTATTGCGACAAAAAATTGCTGAAGTTGTTTAGTGAAGAAGAATGCTTATTATTTTAAAATACTTGAATGTCCTGTGGTCAAGATAGCGGTCACAGCATGCTTCATCCATCAGTTTCTGTTAGGTTCTTACACAGACAGGCATTCAATACCAAAGGATACGTTTGCTGTCATGCCATGACACTGTGAAGGTGATATTGCCTTCTTGAAAACTGAGGATAAGGAATATCTGTGGCAATCCACGGTTACTGGAGTTGCTTAGTTATGCATTTCAGTTGAGAGCTGCATGCTTTGTCTTTAATATTTTTGTACAATGTAAGGTTGCAAGTGGATATATCAGTATGAAAACCAGACTTGTGTCTGGAACAGAAACATGTGCTGAGAGCTGAACTTTGCCCTGCCAAGTCGAAGAAAATTTTTGCTCTAGATTAACAATGTGGTGGTTTTTTTTTTCTAGTTCAGTGAGCAGGACAAGCGCTGGGGTCTGGCTCCAGATGAGAGCTGGCTTGCCTTGGCCATGCCTGGAGAGCAGGCGTTTGGCAGGAGATGTCCAGCAGGGATGATTTAAGGGAAAGATTTGAATGAGGATCAGTCCAGAGACAGTTTGGGTGTATAAGTTTCCCATCAGTGGCGACAATATCTAAAATGAACACTTTTGCATAATCCCAGTTGCAGGCCTGGGAACACCCCAGTGGCTTGGAGACTGGATGAATGAAGACACGTCTTTGTAGTGATCTGAAATAGGGATCTATACAGGTGCGACTTCCTTTTATTTCAGAAATCAGTGGGGTTACTTGTTGGTTTTGCTACTAAATAATTTATTCTCTAAACTTATGAATTTATTGAGTTACAGCAAATAAATTACTGCCTGCCTTTCATCTTGCTGTTTGTGGGTTGTTAAGGCAATTTCAAGGTGACTCACAAATAGCAAAGTTTTCTGTTCTCATGGGTACAACTGTCTTGAAACAGTTTATACAGTGCTACTAGACCACTCTGGCAGTATCCTTACAAGATCCATGCAGATGAGGAGGAATCCCTTAATATTTTTTTTTTTCGATTTGACACTGATATACGCAACATTGTCGTGGGAAAGACCTGTTTCTGAACCTGGTGGTGGTAGTTAATGTGCTTTGTGCTGGGTGGTTGCTGGTCTCTGTTTTACAACCTGCCACCCCCAACTTTCCCTTTTATTTCCTAATTTTGCCCTGTTTCAGGGAGAAAAATCATCAAAATTTCTTTTTTTTTTTTTTGTCAGTTGTCAATGTTAAATGTTTTTCCTCATCTATGCTTTTCAATGGAGTCATGCACTTTATGAGAGATATCATCACTGATGATGGTATCTCTCATAAAAGAGGACCTCCTCCCTAAATTGCCAATCCAGTGTCCCTGGTATCCTAAACTGCTGCCTGCAAAGCAACTGTGAAGTCGAAGCAGCTCACCTGAGTGACTAGCAGTGGTGGTGAGCTCTGTTGAAAGAACAGCTGGGAGGATAGAAAGGAACAGGCTGTGGTGGGGGAGAGAAGCTGGAGGAAAGGGATACTGGGGCTGAGCATGTGCTGTGTGTGCCTCAGCTGTGCCTGTACCAGGAGAATGTGCCATCTCCTACCTCTAGAAAAGTCCACTTTGAGATGTAGTAAGGCAGATGGCAGGTGCTGTCCTGGTGTGATCTTAGAGGAGAATGTTTTTGTGGTCTTGATCTTTTATGGTTATCCCCTTGGCTTACCTGTGCCTAGATACCTGGGAGGTCCCGTTTGAGGAGATCTCGGAGCTGCAGTGGCTGGGCAGCGGTGCGCAGGGAGCTGTCTTCCTGGGCAAATTCCGGGCGGAAGAGGTGGCCATCAAGAAAGTGAGAGATCAGAACGAAACGGATATCAAGCACTTGCGGAAACTCAAACATCCTAACATCATTGCGTTCAAGTAGGTTGTGGAACTTGTTAGAAATGTACCTTTGTTCAGGGAAGAGCCATTCGCCTATTTACCCTGGCCAAGTTTTTAAAATCCAGGAACTAAGCTGTCTGTAGGACAAAATGGGTGGTCATCCTTCCTCTCAAATTGTCACACATTCTTGTGAAAGCAAAGCTATGGACACCATTTTCACCCAGTGCTGCACTTTGCATGCAGGCTTACAAAACACTTGCTGTGAACCCCACAAATCTGCAGGTGTGGAGGTTGAAGGAAACCCACCCCTGTCCCAGATGAGGTTCCTTCTGTCCAAAGCATGCAGGAAACATTCCCTCCTGTTCAGGAAGGAGACCTGTTAGCAGAGCCTTGCCCAGGCAGAATAAATAAGTTACTTTCCTGCCCCTTGATTGCCAGTTTGAGAGTTGGTCTGGAACTCTACTGCTCCTCACTAGCTGTGTGTTTTCTTTGACAGGGGAGTTTGCACTCAAGCCCCATGCTACTGTATTATCATGGAGTACTGTGCACATGGACAGCTCTACGAAGTCCTGCGAGCAGGGCGGAAAGTCACCCCTCGGCTGCTTGTGGATTGGTCCACGGGGATTGCAAGTGGGATGAATTATCTGCACCTTCACAAAATCATCCATCGAGACCTCAAGTCACCAAAGTGAGTCTAGTTACTTAAACATCCACCTTTTTCTTTTTTCTTGAGGAATAGTTTAATGTTAGGTCAGAAGCCACATTATTTTTTTTTCCATGTTGACTCAAAACTAATGAGAGTGAAACTAATGATGCTTGTTGGCACTCCCCTCCTGTGCTGCAGTTTAACAAGACTGGAAATTTTACCAGTATCTTACATGATAAATAGCAGTCAGGAAATATTTCTAATGATTTGATGGTGTCTGGTCCTTTTTGAAAGTGAGATATTCTGTTGCCTTCTGTTTGGTTTGTTTTTTTTTTTTCCTTCTTGTTATTTTGTTATTTCCCCGGTTTATGGGGAAGTTTCTCTCATTTCTCTGTTGCTTTCTGACTAAAGCTATCTGGCTGCTTATATTCTTATTCCCTAGATGTTTATCACTTCTTTAGCCTGTGACATGACTGTGACAGTGAGTTAAGATAATAGTTTTAGATAGTTTACAGCTCAGTTTAAGGTACAGTTTTACTAAAATGTTGAAACGTCCGCAGACATGGTGAATCTTCAGTGACTTGGTAATTTGCAATTTTATCGAGATTGATTTTTGATTTGTCGTATTTAGAAATACATTTGAAACACAAAATGCAACCACCCAAAAGAAAGTGAGTGCTTTCATTGGTAAAGATGGATAATCTTTTTCACTTGTACTACAACTGTGAATGAACAGCATGGCCTCATCAACTGTCAGTGTTGATTAAGAAAGGATTTATTCCCAGTGGCTGTTGTGGCATTTTTTTTTTTTTTTTTTTTTTTTAATTTCTCCAGTGTTTTAGTTACACACACAGATGCAGTAAAAATTTCAGATTTTGGTACATCTAAAGAACTCAGTGACAAAAGTACCAAAATGTCTTTTGCGGGAACTGTGGCTTGGATGGCCCCCGAGGTGATACGCAATGAGCCCGTCTCTGAAAAGGTGGATATCTGGTGAGTAGTATTAATTTTTAAGTATCTTCACATTCTGTTTAGCCACTTGGTTTCCCAACACTTTACATATTGAGCACTCATCCCTTTCTAGGCACGGGGTTAGTTTGTTCTGTGGTGGACTATTCCTTTTCCCATTGTCAGTGCCCTAAACTTTGTTACCGAACCATGGGCTATAATGGAAAAATAAATGACATACATATGTAAAAGCTGTGTGTTGAGATCTGAAGGTATTTAATGAGATATATTGTAGACTGTCTGTGTGTTGGAGGAATTAAACGCAACTGTTCTTCCCTGTGTCATTATTCAGGCCAGAGCTTTCTTCCATTCCTAATGCTCAGGCCGCCCTCAGCAATGTTTGCAGCGAGGGTATTTTTCCTTGCTTTCTACCCTCTTCAGGCCCATGCCTGAACTGTAGGGAGGCCTCTACTCTGCTAGTTTGAAGGGTCTGAGCACCTTTTGCTTCTTTCTGCATACTAGGCTTGATCATTATGTGTACAGCCACGGGATTATAGTCCAGTGAATGTAACCCCGGATCCAAGAGGGGGAAACCAGGATACATTGTAAGAGTTTTGAACACCTGTTACCACCCCATGTGAAAGGTACTCTGTGTCCAAAGCAACACAAGGAAAGGTTCAGATCTTTGTGCTGTTAAAAATGCTTGAGAGGACTCAGCCTTGAATCTCCTTTGGGATGCCTCTCCACAGGTTTCAGGGTCTTGAAGGGAATCGCATCTCTATTCCTGCCTTGTTATTTCTGCATATTAAATGTCAGTAGCCAGGACAAAAGCCCTTCTCTCTGCTTTACAGCCAGGATGTATTTTCCTTCTTGCAGTTTTTTCGGCTTTAAATGCTGTCACCTTCCTCAGGCAGCATGAAGCTGCAGGTCAAAGCCACAGGTGGTTCAGAGCGCGAGTGGAGTCAGACAGCAGCCTGCTGCTGGTGGTGATTCAGCTTGGAGATGGGTCATGACTTTAAGTCAAGATTCCCTGCAGGGAAAGGGAAGGTCTTGTAATATATGACACTTCTTGTGCCCACAGTGTTTTGCATGTTCATTTTGTGTGGATGTAACAGGCCATATGCATAGCCAGCTCTTCTAGGAGAAACTCTTGGGTTGTTTTGGAAAAAAAATACACTCACCATTTGTCTTCTGAGCTTTTCCCTTTGAATCACAGGTTCGTGAGGAGGAATGGTGCTGGATTTTCACCTTCAGAGTGGCTTAGGGTCAGGAATATTGTGTGGAGCATCAGGTCCAGTAAAAACCAGCTGCTAGCTCTGCTGAGAGGACTGTGGACACTCCTTTATGCCTTTCCTCAGTGACTTAGAGGTGTTGCTCTTTGGTGCAAACCTAGAATTGTCTTTGGTGCAAGTTCCTCTTGAGTCTGCTGCAGTGGTGATTGCTCAAACTCCTCATTGACATCCATTCCTCCCCCAAGATGAGTAAAAGCTATGTTCATGAATACTGACAACAAATGAGAACAGTTCCTAAGCTGCTTATGTGTCTGCACTCTCTCATCTTTAGCAGCATGCTAAAAAAAAAAAAAAATCTATAATCTTATCAGGAGTCTTGAAAATCCTTTGTCAGTTCTTAATCATAACAAAGCTGAAATCAGATGGGGTTTCCTGGTAGTTTGTCCAACCACCTGGATCCTTGCTTTGCTGCAGCCCACAGAAAAAAATTTTCAGGGAAAAAAATGTTCAAATTCTGCTTCTTTTGGTTTGAAGCCAATGGGCTTTGAAAGTGCAACATTTTCCACATGAAGTTCTGTTTCCTGACTGATGGTTGTTCAGACCTAGGCAGTTTGTCCCTTAGATGTTCCTTTGTACTTAATAAAAACAACTTGATATTAGTACAAGCCAGAAACACACTTCTCACTTTTCACCTAGTTTGACTTGCCAGCAAGCTTTGCATGGTGTCCCACAGATGGATGGGGCATGCACGTAAGGTGATATGTCTGGGTTTGAAATTGAGATGGTTGTACCTCACCTCCTATCTCAGCCTGTTGTTAATGTGCAGTAAGTGTGGCGTTGGTACTCAGCAGCATTTTGTTTATCTCTGTATTGACTGGTTTGATATTTCCTTGGTGTTTTGTTGGTGAAGATTGTAAATAAGACTAATAACTGTTTGTTGTTATAAATTAAATTTTTGATCCTTACTGACAATTTCACTAAGGAAGAGAAACAAAGTGAGGTTTTCTTACCTGTATCTTTCAGTTCTTGTAATAGGAGGTTCTTTTCCAGTCAGTTCTCTTAATTTTTTTCTTACTTTAGCCTTCCTTTCTTCAGCACAAAAGAAATATCAGATGAGAGTGCACATGCTTTTGATACTGACAGTTACGCATGTTGCATTTGTTTCTTAATTTTTGTGTTGCAGTAGTTGTAGTACTCAGTCTGAAACCTGTGAAACTCTTACCTAGGAGTACAAATAACAGCAGAGGGAGCTTTTGACTTGGGGGAAAAAAAAGAAGTTAAATGAAATATTAAAAAACTCCCACAAAACCTTTGTTGTGTTGTCTCTGTAAGAAACTTATGAGTTCTGTCTGTCCAGCAGTAGATGATCTGTTCTTACCAATAAGAACAGTCAAAAGTCTATCTCAGAAAAGCTAACTTTCCTTTTCATTTAACAGGAATAAGCTTTAATCTCTACAGAAAATGTGCTTTAGGGTTTTTAAAATCTCACAAAGAAAAAGGAAAGGGTGGGTGAAATCTAGTGTGGTTTGGTGTTCAATCCAGGGTTGGCACAGAGGAAGAAGTTGGTGTGTGAAATAGCTACTCTTGGTTAAAAACTAGTATGTAAACACTGTTGCACCTACTTGCAATGTCAGATCAGACACACCTATTTCCCTGTTTTACCAGTATTTCTTCTTCAAGCTCCAGATGTTTCTGTTAAATTGAATTCACACAGAAGCTTTTATCCTGGTTTATTTCTTCATCAGGTCATTTGGGGTAGTTTTGTGGGAGCTGCTTACTGGAGAGATTCCCTACAAGGATGTGGACTCTTCGGCTATCATTTGGGGAGTGGGCAGTAACAGCCTGCACCTTCCTGTCCCTTCCACCTGCCCAGATGGCTTCAAAATCCTCATGAAGCAGACCTGGTAAGAGCCTGAACCCCACACTGTGCAGACCTAGGGCTGGCTTCCAGCTCTTGCCAGTAAAACCAATGAAACCAGAGTTGGGGTGGGAGTGTTGAGTGCCAAGTAGAGGGCTCTTAAATGTTCTCACACTTGTCACAAGAGCAGTAAGTTTTTACATCTTGAATTTTGCTTCCTTATGGCAGCAGGCCCGAGCCCCAGAAGGGCATTTGGAATGTAGAGGAAGTAGGAAGAGACCTGCAGGGTGGATGGGACAGGGGTGGGAGTGGGCAGACAGTGTTGAGACAGGTTAGTGTTGGGGAAGGAGTTGAGCAGGAGAGAAGTGGGGAGCAGAGCTTGATGGGAGCCCCAGCAGGGTGACAGTTACCCATGAGTTGCCTGTCCTGTGTGAATAAGGAGCAGGCATTAAGAAGATCATCTTCAGTAGCCTTCACAGAGGTGGTCGCTTTGTTGTAGCAAAGTAGGTGATAAAAGGTAGCTCTGTGTGAAGAGAAAAGGAGCTGGGAGAAAGATAGGTGTAAAATTTCTTGAGGCTGGCTCCAGAGTGAAAGGAAATAATTTTTTACTCTGAAACCACTTGTGACTGGCTTTTGAGCTGTGTGAAAACAGGATTTTATGTGTATATAGATATGGAAAATGCTTTTAGTTTCCTTCACATGCCAGATTAGAGTTTAAATTCTTTGTCTTGGGTTAATGCTTTGTCTTTGTAATTGCATTTTGACACCACGTGTAAATATTGTTCTGGCATTTTCCCACTCCATGAGTTTTCCCAGCCATCCTCTCCATAGCACAAAGGGAATAACAGGCCAGAGCACCTATAGATCTTCTCAAGTAGCTGCTTACCCCGCTGAGCCTGAGTTCTGCAGCAGCAGGTCGTGCTGTTGCAGTGTCTGTGCTGGGACGCGCTCTGCCTGGCTGTGCTGCTGCTGCTGCGCAGGGCTGCGAGAGGCAGGAGCGGTTTGTGCGGCTCTGCGCAGCAAGTACACACGCTTGTATCCCCACCTAGTGGAAGTGGGTGGTTTCTAGGGGAGAGGTGGCTGCAGAAACTGCAGTTTCTCGTCCTGAGCACTGAATCCGTGCACTAAGTCTGGTGGGGTCACTCCTGAAGCTTGAGTGCTGGTCCTTTTTATCAAAGATACAAATGGGTTTGTACTTGAATGTGATCTTAGAGATGTTCAGTGCGTTACAGTACAGTGTAGGATCAGGCATATACTGTATGGCAATTTAGATATGTTTGGTGTTTATAGACACCCCGTTTTGTTGAATGTGAATTATAATTTCTACTAGATTGCGTATTCCCATTATAAAATTTGGAAATTAACAGGATAATGAACAAGTTAGGAGTTACAAACAAGTTAGGAGCAGTTTCAGTTTTATCCCATCTTTCACTTTGTAATCACATTTTCCTATTTTAAATGTTTTTCATCTCTTTTTGTTTCTTCAGAATCGATCATCACAAACCAAAAACTGAATACAAAACAACTCTAGCATAAGAAACTCATATTCAGAAAAAGAGAAAACCAGAAAATCTCCTTTTCTCTAATCTGTCAGCTACACAATTCAGAGTATGTTCTCATGAGAAACCCTTTCAGAAGGGGAAGAGAAACTAGCAATGTTAACCTCACCTCATGCTTGGGTATTTGTCTATTTTGCTCCAGGCAGAGCAAGCCTCGGAATCGTCCCTCCTTCCGGCAGACACTGATGCACCTGGATATCGCATCTGCTGACGTACTGGCTACTCCTCAGGAAACCTATTTCAAATCACAGGTAACTGGAGGGTGATTGTAGCCCATGAGTACTAGAGTTTAGCTCCAAGGATCTGATTTGGGAGGTTGCATAGAGTACAGCAGAAGTCCAGATCCATGATTTATTCCTGAGGAGAAACAAGCTAATAGGTATTAAAAAATCTTTTACCCAAGCTTTCACAAACTGAGACATCTGCTGACTTTAGTCAGAAACTCAACGTTGTCTTGTTCACTTCTCCCTGGGACTGCTGACACCAGCTGTTCTGCTTCCAGCTGTTCTCTCAGTCCTGTTGTTCTGGAGACCACGAGACTGTTAGGAGCAGAACCATTGCATTTATAGTAAAGATGAGCAGGGCAGCTAGTGGGACAAAGACCTATTACAGGGCAGTAAAGGGCCTCCAGGACTTTCAGGGAAGATCTAAAAGTATGTTCTTAGAGATTCCTCTCAGTCCTACCCAGTGAGCTATTGTCTGCTCCCCAGGAGGGCATGAGAATGAAACCTTGCCTCCAGTATAGAGGATCTATACAGTGTTGGGGTGTGAGGAAGTAGGTGTGTTTATTACAGCTGAAAGAACCAGGACTTCAAGGGGCAAATATAGTTAGTGACAGTCATCACTGTCATGAATATAGATTTCCAAATCATAAGCCTTTCTGTTTACTCTAAATGCCAAAAGGGAAGAAAATGTTGCCTTAGGATGAAAAGACTGTTAGGATTTTTAAAAAACATTTTTAAAGAAAATGCAGATATGTTTTAATTGATGTAATGGGAGCACAAAATTGGAAATACCATTTGAAAGTGCAGAAACTAAACATGCTGCAATGTTGTTACCCAAAATAATTCAGCTAACAGAAACATGTTTTCAACCCAAACCTGTAAATTTCTGCAGACACAAAGAATATTGCCCAAGAGTTTTTCTTTGGTGCAAACAGGGATTCCAATGCTTTGTAAATACCTGAAAGTGAGTTGCTTCCCTAGGCTGAATGGAGAGAAGAAGTGAAGAAACATTTTGAGAAAATTAAAAGTGAAGGAACTTGTATCCACCGACTAGATGAAGAATTGATTCGTCGTCGAAGAGAAGAGCTGAGGTCTGTTAACAGTCTTTTATGTTTACTGCTCACTTTTCCCATCCAGCCTTCTCCAGCTGCATGAGTCCAGCGCCCTCAGCTTCTCTTCACAGGGCATGTGCTCCAGCCCCTGACTGTTTTCATGCTCCTCTTCTACTGGGGACTCAGTATTCCTGGTGGTATAAATTCAGGCAGCCTAAATTCCTTGAGTCCAGAAACTGAAGTTCCCACAGGCATGCCCTAGGCCTTGAGCACTGCTTGGCTCAGGGAAAATGACAGAGAAACAGTAGAGCCTGTCCCTGCTCTTGGGCAGTCTGAACGGTTTGTTCCAGGCTAGAGGGTCAAAGGCTTGTGTGTTTACCAGGGAATGTTTCTGCTTGAGTTTTGGTGTCTGTGATAACAGCACTGAAGCAGGTACATCCATCTCAGTGGAAAATGCATCTTGCAGTTTGCTGTGAGCTTTCTCTGTCCTGATAATTTCTTTAAATTAGTTATTTCCAGAGAAGTGAACACACTCCCAGTCCACTGGAAGCGAACACACTATCAACACACTGAAATGAATTTTGAACATTAGACCAACCTAAAAATGAAAGCGGAATGTTTACTTAAGAAAGTGTTATTTCCTTTGATACAATTTTGCAAATATAGTTACCATAGAGAAACAAAAAATAGCAAGTAGCAGTTTTATGTCAAACCTGAGAAACCAAAGGAAACCTAGTTGTTGATCAGTGTTCCCTAGCCCTAGGGAGCTTTTGATGGTCACATCTTTCAGCTGTGGTTCAAGACGTCTTCTGCAACTATACTGTATCTGTAGGGGCATATTGCTTTTTATGAAATATAAACAGATGGCTTCTTCTTTCTTTAGAAGCTGACTTAGCCCCTTCTCTGTGCAAACAGGATGATCGGGGCTTGGCCAAAAGGTCTTGTGGATGCATTTGAGGCATTTGCAGCTTCTCTTGTGAGAAGTGTTGCCACTCTTCCAAGGCCGTTAAATGCTTTCTAAATCATATCATAATTCACTGCTGTATCAAGCTCTTAGTCATCATTCGCTGTAAGCTCTATCTTGGGTTCAGTGCAATATAGCTGACTTTTAGAAGGCCTTTTCCTAAAGCACCTGTACTTCTCCTTATTCTCCTCTCTTGGTCCATGGACGTTAGACTGTGGAATAACAACACTTCTGTTTTTCAGACATGCATTGGATATCCGTGAACACTATGAGAGGAAGCTGGAACGAGCTAATAACTTATACATGGAGCTCAGTGCTATTATGCTGCAGCTAGAGGTCCGTGAGAAGGAGCTCATAAAGTATGTATCTCTGGGCATAATGACATGCCATGCATGTGGCAATATGCATACAGAAGGAAAAAAACCCAAAGCAGTGCTTCATTTCTAAACTGTGTAGTGGTAATTGTAGATTTACTGTCCCCTGACAAACTTCCATGGTAAAGAAAGAGTTGACAATCAGAGAGAGACCCCTTAAGAGTAGATTACTGCAGACCACTCAGTGCACGTATCTTTACCCAGTGTTTACTAACTGGGAGAAAGGCACCTTTCCCATTTGGTGTTGGCATCCTTTGGCCCCTTTGTAAAGAGAAAATCATTGCTGTTTCTGGACTGTGCACCAGGGCCCTGTTCCAACTGCCTGATCTCTGCAGAGAGAATTTAGAAAATGACTATGTCCTTTCCCAGAACAGCATGTTGTGTTGCACCCAGCCAGAGCTGAGAAACAGGCACGCAGTGTGCTCACAGCAGAGCTGTGTTTCTGTCCAGCAGGAGCTGCAGTTGGATGAAGAGAGAATTGATCTGTTTGGGTTTTTTTTTCTTCCCTGATGTTTCAGGAGGGAACAAGCAGTGGAAAAGAAATACCCTGGGACTTACAAACGTCACCCAGTCAGACCAATAATCCACCCCAATACAGTGGAGAAGCTGATGAAGAGGAAAGGGGTCTCCCATAAACCGGGCAGCCAGACTAAACGGTAAGAAGTAACAACCTAGTTCTGTGCCAGGAACCAGCAGTAGGTCCCCACTGAGATGAGCAGGCAGCTTACTTCCCTTTGAGTCTGATGACAACACAGGACAAGCCAGAGCAGTGTTCACTCTTGGGCCTGATCTGATCCTCAGAACCCCGGTTGTTTAATTACCTTGAGGTAAAAGAGATGAATCCTGCCATCCCTTCTACCTGGGCAGCTCTCTGGAACCATTTGGTTCATATGACTTTTTTCACAGATTATGGTGCTTTGCCAGGAGGTACGTAATGTGTATGTCAAATTCCAAACTGTCCAAGCAGAGAGTAGTTAGATCATCCTTGACTTGAATGGTAGTAAGCAGGGTCAGGGACTGTGGAAATCAGCCAGTCCTCAGGGAGCATGGATTAATTGTTGAGGAATTAAAATTGGGATTTGAGATTTGGGAATTCATGCTGTCCTTTCAGCTATTTCTCTTCTGCATGACTTTCAAAAAGTGAGATATATTTTTTTTTTTTTTTCAGAGGAGCTGTCTATTTTATTATTCCTTTTTCTGGGACTTCCAGGAGTTAGACTCCTGATTAACAGTGAATAATCACTTCTGAATTAATATCCACATGTGCTTCTGAAATGAGCAGGCTGATAACCATCAGCAGATTGGGACCCTATTGTGCTGAGTATGTATATGCACATAGTAAGAGACATGCCCTACACCAAGGTCTTAGGAGGGAGCTATTCTGGGAGCAGAACATCAGAATAAGAGTGGAAAAAAGAAAGCATGTGGCAGATTTTGGAAAAAGCAGCAAGAAAGGAGTGTAGAGCATGATGGGCTGAATAGAAAGGACATTGAGTGGAGACGATCAAAGGAAACTAAATGCAGAAGTTAAACAGCTGAAGGGGGGAGGGAAGCCTGTAGATTTTAGAAAGCAGAGTGTGCTTATGGCTACAGCTGCCTCTTCATCCTGGCTCCAAGCCAATGTAATTTCTTAGTTTGTGGTTTAATATGGAACTTCTCCTGACTGTCTTTCAGGCCAGATCTACTGAAGTCAGAGGGCATACCCAGCACAGAAGCAGCATCCAATGGCTCACCAGTCTCAGGGAGTCCCAAAATGTCAACATTGAGTGGCAAAAGCCGCTACCGCAGTAAGCCACGTCACCGCCGAGGGAACAGCAAAGGCAGCTACAATGATTTTGCAGGGATCTTGAAAAACCAGCCAGTGCAAGATGATGCACCCCCACCTCCACCTCATCATAATTCTCATCACCCCGGCCTACCGCACCAACCTGGCCACAGCCATCCCCATGGCCATCACTCACGGCTTCATGCCCATGGACAAGATATTGCCAACTGCGCAAACAACTTACGGTACTTTGGCCCCGCAGCAGCGCTGCGGAGCCCTCTCAGCAACCACGCGCAAAGGCGGATGTCTGGTTCCAGCCCCGATCTCATCTCCGCTGCCATGGAAGCAGACTGCCGAAGGAATCTGGAGAGCAAAGAAGGCAGAGCTGATCATTGGGAGTGTTGCAAACCAGATCCATATAATTCCTGTCTGCAGTGCAGGGAGGAGGACAGTGGTCAGGTACAGATGTCATCTGTTGAAACAGGGATGAGCCATTCTCAGTCACCAACATCTGTTTCCCTATACGAAAATGCGCAGTTCATTGAGAAAATGGAGGAGGAGGGCTTCAGCAGCTGTAAGTCAGCGTCTGCACTAGGCACTCCCCAGCACATGGCTTCCTCAGTGCTACCTTGCAAAGCAAGACCCCTTCAAAAGGTAAGGACAAAGCACAGTGATTTGAAAAAACCACAAAGCTTGTTCCTCTTTTCCCCTTCCACCAAAAGGTGTGTAGCACAGGCTAGTGTCTGGATATAGGATAGTAGTAAAGCCATGTTTCCCACTTGCGTAGCAGTAGTTACATGTACAACTTTATCTTAAAGAAATCATGCCTATCTTAATTTTGCCTTGTGATCTGGAGACACTTTTAAAGTCACTTTTATCGAGAAGTGCTGTAGGCATGTTGGAACATACTGCTGATAACAAAGGTTGTCAAATGTGGCTTTGATAGGGCTTAGTTCTGTTACTTTCAAATTTAGCCATTTTTTGTTTGAGCTGAAACTTGGCCTACTGAATTTCTGTTGTTGAAACAGGCTCAAAACGTTTTTAAGCCTTTCTCAAAACAATGGAAGGGAGAAATGCATTCTTTGGGTGATGTTAAATATCATGTAACAGTTTCATTGAGAAATGAATGCTGCTGCACCTCAGAACAGCAATTCAACATTTGCCGTGATTGCAGACATGCCTTTTGCTGCACCTGTCAGAAACTGTCCACCTTGACTGAATGTAATAGTTTTCATGTATTTTGTGGAGATTTTTCAGGAGTCAAAAAGGTGTTATGGTACAGCTGTACAGAAACAGTTCTTCTTCATTCCTACTGCTTTCATCCAGGTGAGGAGAGAAGTAGCAATCAGTCTGAGTGGAGTTCAAAGAGCAGAAAATCTGGGCCTGGATGAGAAAGAAGATGAATACCAGACCAAGAGTGTGGTTTGGGCCCAGAATGAAGGGAGAAGGACCTCATATTACAGGGGGATGGGATGAGATAGAGGCTGACTCCGAATGAGGGGCTGGCAGGTTGAATAGCATAGAAGGAGGCTGTAAATATGAAGAGTGCAGAAAGTGGATTTGGATAGGAAAAGGAGAATAAAAGGTTCTGCGCTTACTGAGGTAAAGAATGGAACAAAACTCAAGGTTTCCTAGTTGGTGAAACCCACCAGCAAAGGCTGTGTCATCATCCCCCATCCTGCTCTGTGACGGACTCATGCAGAAGAAAGCTGAAGTCGTAAAGTCAAGAATGCCAGATCAGCTCAGTAATTTATGTGGATCTCAGTATAATACTAATTACTTGATTTGCTTCTGTAAAAATCCAGAACATTATGTACTCAGTGCCTGCTAAAGTACTCCAGGGCATTTCAAAGTCAATTGCTCCAAATTCAGAAATGGCAGCATTAAGACTCCCTGAAATAATCTCCTGGTAAGAAGTCTGAGTCAGTTTTCACTGATATGCAGGTTATTTTCTTGTCTAGATTGTTGCAACCCGTTGACATGGTGACTTTGCCTTGGAGAACCAAGGGGCAACCATGTGATTGCATGTTTGTTCTTTCATAAATGTGACGCTGTTCTTGTCCTTGTTTTCTGCCAGAGTGGTGATGACTCTTCAGAAGAGGAAGAGGGCGAAGTAGACAGTGAAGTGGAGTTTCCTCGTAGACAAAGGTAAAAGGTGAATTCACTCTAATCTCTCTTTGGTAGGACAAAACTCAGGAGGAGTCATAGCAGCTGCACAGCAACCTTGAAACTGTGGAAGGTGCTGACAAAAGAACAGAATCACATCCAGTGTGTCACATCCACTGTTGGTTGATCCCTCATGTTCACTCACTGTTTTCAGCCTGTTCTGAGCTATTATCTCTAGCATAGCTTTTCTGCTTCAGGCTGTTTGTAGCACAACTTGATCACACTTGATAATGTTATTCAGGCTATAAAAATAAGCTGCTGCCTCTGTTTCACCAGAATCAGACTTGCTGGATGTTGGGACCCTTTGTGGACTCTTTCAAATGTTATTAATTAACCATTGCTGCAGCGGAGCAGACTCCAGAACCTTTGTAGTTGAATTCAAATAGGACTGAAGAGCTAGGGGACAACAAGGCAGATCAAATTGGATGGTGTTGCCTGTAAAATAAGACTTGAGGGGGCATTCCTACCTCAGCCTGTGTAACAGCGGGCTTTACAATCCTGTGCTCAGGAAAGAGAACATGGGATTGGTGCCATAGCTTTATGAAAGCAGCTGCCTGAAGTGCAGAAGTGATCCAGTGGGCAAATAGGTTAAAGGCTTTTAGGAAAGGAGTAGAGAAGAAAATAAAAGCTTGTTGTCTGTTGTATACATTCATGGCACACCTGCAGCTTGAATCCTAAATGCAGTCTTCATTGCCCCAGCTCAAAGACCGTGGCAAAATTTGAAAAGGTACTTAGAAGTGTGACAAGAATGGTTAGAAATGGTTTCCATAGAAGAAGAGATTAAATTCATAAGAAATGTTTGTCTAGCAGGAAGAGAGGTGATACTGCAGGTGCATGAAATTGTAATTTATATGGAGAAAATAGACAAGGAACGATTCCTCACATTCATGTTAGGGACACCTAGAGAAGCAAACAGGGGGTTTAAAAATTAACAAAAGGAAGTGCTTTTTCCATCCAAAACGTTTTCAGATGTGGAGCTTATTGCCAAGGTATGCTGTGGAAATCAAAACATAAACGAGTCATAAGTGTGAAATGTATGGAGTATAGATCCATTGGTGGCTGCTAAACACTGTCATCCAGGGTTGATCTTCAGCTCAGAAGTCTGATTTGCTGACTGGTACAAACCAGGAAGATATGCCAGGAGAAAGTAGGCTCTGTCTGCACACCCTGTTCTCATACTTCTCCCAGATTATTTCTTCCTGCCTAGGGGTGGAGACAGAATGCTGGGCTAGATGAGTTTTCCGACTCATACGGTTCTTCTGTGATTGTTACTGCTTCTGTGTTTTACTAACTTGGAAGACAAATTGCCTTTCCTGAATTCAGTGTGATGACCTGTTGTGGGTCTCCTGGTGTGTTCAGTCAATTGGTATGTTGTACCATTACTGTTGAATCCTGGAATGAGGCAGTTTCCACATTCAGGTAACTGTGAGCTTATTTTTTGAGCACACATACCTACATTCTAGCTTGGCTGTTGGGACTGCTGCCAGGTGATGCAGATATTCCCAGCTGAATTAGCTTGAACCCTACTGTACAGCCTTTTTTTAGGACAAAAGACTGCTAAATAAAAATATGCTCCAGGGCAGATCAGCTAATATGAGTGTGTAGCAGACAAGACCAAATAAGAAGAGATTAATTTTAAGATGTAGATCTTGAACTAAATTATTCAAAAGGTGGTAGATTTCCATAGCTCCAAGATGTGAAAGGCAGCTCAATGCTTTGCAGAGCTGTAGCTGCCAGCCTTGCAGATCAGTTATGACTCAACTGGAGATGTGTTCTTAGGGTGGGAAGAGGCTCTTGGCGAGTTGATGCCTTTTCTAGGGATAGGACATGTTTTGCTCAAAGACATTTTTTGGAAGGATCGAGCCCTTGGCCCAGTGTGGAGAAGCAACCAGACAGTATTGCATGCACTGTGCCTGAGCCATATCTGCTGGGGAGAACAGGACTGAGTGGCCTGGTCTGCCTGTTACAGCGGGTGAGCGAGCCCTCTTCTTGTGCTGAAGATGCCGGTTAAAAGCAAAAAATCTGCTTTCTGCACTGCATACTTCAGAAAGGAAACCAGGGAAATCCTTGTAACCCTGTAGCAGCCACTCTGCATTCACTGCACTACTAATGTTGAGGGTTTTGATTGTGATATATATCTTGAAAGACATGCTACATGTCAGAAACAGCATTCCCTGTGTTTGAATTGTTTGAATGAGCTCACCAGCTCGTTCTTTGTGCAGTGAGAGTGTGTGCAGAAACCTGCCCACTGAGAAGCTGTAACTTTTCTTGCTGGCAGTGGGCTCCTGGGGACAGGCTCACCCAGGGCTGAGTGGGCACCGGGAGTGGGGTCTGTCAGGGCCAGGTATTAGCAGAGCATCCAGACACAGCACCCAGGAAATTGCTTTTCCTCTGCAGTCAGAGGCACTGTGATACAAGCTGAACTACTCTCCTGGTTTGCAGACCTCACCGCTGCATTAGTAGCTGCCAGTCCTACTCAACCTTCAGCTCGGAGAACTTCTCTGTGTCAGATGGAGAGGAAGGGAACACAAGTGATCATTCGAACAGCCCGGATGAGCTGGCCACAAAGCTGGAAGATGAGCTGGCTGAGAAGCTGGAGGACATGTTGTCCCAGACTCCAGAGATTCCTATTGAAATCTCCACCCAGTCTGATGGGCTTTCAGACAAGGAGTGTGCTGTGCGGAGAGTCAAGACTCAGATGTCTCTGGGCAAACTTTGTGCAGATGAACACAGCTGTGAGGTGAGTTGTAAATTTAGTTATCCCCTCTTCCTTCTGCTGAGTAAAAATAAATCAATAAATGTTACAAAAAGGAGTCCAAGGGGCAGAAAGTTGGATACTGCCTTAGGAAATGCTGTGGTAGATGTACTACAGCAAAGCAACTGCTTAAATCACCAGTCTTTCTCATACTTGGCCAGATGAGTAGATGGAGCAAAGCAGCTCAAAGAAAACTAACCGTAATTTGCTGGTCAAGATGAGTGTCATATTGGGAGGCCATTGGATTTTCAGTTGCATTAAGTGGGATAAAAAATAGCATGTAAAGTAGATAATGAAACGGAATGGATATAAACTGTCTGCCTCAAACTTATCCACAGCAGCCTTGCTGGAATGATTTTCTTCCTTTTACTGTCTTTCAAGTGTTTGGTAGTGCTCTGACCTGATATCTTTCTGCTGTCCCCTTGTTGAGGGGAGACAAGTGGCCTTTGGCAGGGTGGTTGTGTGCTGTTGTCTATCTCCTGTGTCCTGCCAATCTCCTCTGCTGGTGGTGACCTTTGCCTGTCTGCTGTTACGGTTTTGGATGGTGTGGTTGATCCTGCAGTGCAGAAATGTTGCTCAAGTCTTCCCCTTTCCTTTTGCTTTGCAGAACCCAGCACAGTTTGGAGAATCAGACTGTGACTCTTCTGAAGGGGAGTGTTCTGATGCCACAGTCAGGACCAATAAGCCCTGCAGCTCTGCTACTTGGTAATACAGATCTCCCCAAAGCTTCCTGATACTGGCATTTTGATTTCCCTGAGATTCCACTTCATTCCCCTTCATCACACTTTACAGGAAGAGAAGATGCTTCTCCTTCCCACCCCAGGAGTGATTTGCAATAACCCGAATCTCTGGAAAATGTCCAAATGAAATTAATTCTCTTTGAGCATTTCAATCAAGAATGGCAGGGATGTATTTTATTGAATAATCTAGTTACTGTAACATGGATATTTATTTTTTTGACATTTTAACACTTTTTACTGTAAAGAGTGGATTGTATTTATAGACACACAGACTTGTTGCAAAAAATAATTCAGAAAGCAAGCACATTACAGAGAAACATCCTGGGAGTCCTGCCTGGACAGCTTTGTGTACAGACGCAGGGGGATTCTCTTGCTGCTTTCACAGGGGACCAGGCCTTGTGGCCGTGAAGATTGGAGAACAGATCAAGAAAACTAAACCACTCAGTCTTATCAAATAAGTAAGCATAAAAAGACCTTACTATAGGGTAACCTGTGAACAAAGCGTATTCAGTATAACCAGCTGGGTCATTTTTAATCAGAAGGTGGACATGTTCCTGGAGAAAATTGGTACCGAGGTGCTAACATCCAGGGTCTTCTGAGTCAATACATCCCCAGGAATGTACTAGTGGGTTTTATTTTAAGGATTTTTAGTTTCTTTTTTTTAATCAGCATTTTGTTGTGAGATCCTGCAAATGTATTCTAACCTCGTCCTCAAGAATTGGTATAAGAGCACTTCTTAACATCGTCCTTGCTTCCCTCTGGCAGTGTTTATCTCCAGTCGAGCAGGGAAACCTCTTTCAGATGCAGCGTGCCATTTCCCAGTTTACTTCCTCCTCTTACCTCCTGTCTGTTTCAGTCAAAGAAATCAATCAAATCAGTGTTGGAAAAGCAAGAACTTGCAAACAGTGGAAAGCACATTCTGTAGAGCCTGAGCACTCTTCTGGGGAGGAAACTGGACATGCCTGTACTGGACTTGGAGAAGCAGTCTCTCACCTACAACAGCATCGATAACCAGCAGAGAGCTGTGTGTTGAGGGGGAAGACTGGGAATCACTGGCCTAGAGAAGAGCATTGGCCCTGCTCTGTCTTCTTATTCACTGTACATTCTTGAAAGCATTAACAGCTGCCTGCCCTTCATGTCAGGCTTTGTGCAAAACAGGTTGCACAGGGAATCTTGATGGTGTCTGTGGCACAGCTGTGTCTCGGGTGTACCCTGAGGCCTTTGTTTCTTCTTCAAGCTGAAACTCTGCAGGTGAAAGTGAGGATAGTACTGGTATGCGACAGGCCGAGACATTGGCAGATGAGAAAAATTTGTTTTCTGATAGAACTCATAGTGCCTTCCCTTCAAACACTACTCTTCTAAATCAATATTTAAAGAGAACAAAACGATAGAGCACGTTTTCCGCCCCCC